TTCTCTAGAACAGGGAGATTGGGATGAGAAGTGATAATAACGGAAGGGAATTAGTTTGTTTATAAAAGTCAGTAGACGTTATTGTTAAGATAAAATTGAGTAGGATAATTTAACATTGAGGGATCAGGATACGTTGCGAGGAATAACAGCAGTAAGATTGGTAATTACAAGTCTTGTCTCACAACTGTGTGACTTCCTTGATAAGTTTTTCTCCAGTGATTGCATAACTAAGTGCAATAGTGGGATTAAGGTAGTAATTAGTTTGTAATAAGCTGCTAATTGTACTTCTACCTACATCTTGAAATCCGCGACATTTCTGTACTTATTTACTTTTATTTGATCATATATTGGTACAAAAGGGCGCCAAATACATATGCGCCACACAAGTCACTTGATTTATATGTGGGCTATGATACTGTCCGGATGCCCAAAGCGAAGGAAATGGTTTTCTTAGGTGGCCACACTTCGAGCATTTGACCTTAAGGTCTGACCCACGAGGTAGTGGAGCAACATGAAGAGATGCAGTCCCATGTTAACTGGTGACCGACAATAGGTTCATACTCCATTTGTTTCTTCAGGATACTGGAGCCCATGTGCACCATTGGTTTCTAATGAGGGTTGCCGTGTGAAAGCATTTCGAAAGGAAGAGCTGAATCTCCCCACTGTTGGCCGTACCAGGGTATTTGTGGGCTCTGTTACACACGTAGAATGTATGTAAATTTTTCGCAACAAATGCAGAAGCGCTCAACAAAATGGTCAGTCAGTCAGCTGCAACGTAGGACCAGGCACGTATATGCATCGGTCCAAGTTGCCATACCGCATTAGCACAACAAGATGAACACCGGATTCATAGAAGTAGTTAATTCAGTGGTGGTAATATATAGAAGAAAGAGTGTGTATAAGGAGATAGTACAGGAAGATAGAATTAGTTCCTAGAAATAAAGATTTGAAGTGATTTTAATCTCTTAGTTTGACGGAAGACAGAGAGTGTATACACCGACGCCATTGTGATCGATTCTGAGCCATGTCACCAAGAGTCTCCAACCATTGGTTACGATAGTCACGCGGACCTCAACCAGGCAGTCTGCATCTACCAACATGGCTCACACCAGAAGTTAGTGACTACAAGCACTGATGCCGCGTTTTGGTTTGGCCGCCCCTAACTTTCTTCCAATCATCCCTAACACCGGTTAGCATTGCGCGTCGTGGTAATCGGTGTTCAGGCATACGCAGCACGTGGCCCAACCATCTCAATCGATGAAGATTCACAACCTCATCAACTGATTTACCATTATTCTTTAATGCCCTACGTCTAACCTCACTATTACTTACCCGGTGATCCCAGCAGATGCGAGCAATATTTCTAAGGCACCTGTGGTCAAATACTAGTAACTTACGAATATCTTCCACTCTTAAAGGCCATGTTTCGTAGCCGTATAGTAGAACGGAACGAACTGCCGCGCAGTATACTCGTCCCTTAATTGATAGACAGATATCTCGCCTTCGCCATAGATGACGTAAGTTGGCAAAGGCCAAACGAGCTTTTCGAATCCGTGCTGAGATTTCGTCAGACACCAACCCATTAGGGCTGATCAGGCTTCCAAGATAAGTGAAGTTGTCAACGCGTTCGACTACTTCACTCCCTATCCTTAGTTCAGGTGTTAACGCAGACCAGTCCTGAAGCAACAACTTGCATTTAGAGGGAGAGAAGCGCATCCCAAACATTCTGGCATTGTTGCTCAGTGCTACCAAAAGACTCTGCATTTCATCAGCGTCTTCACCAAACAGGACTATGTCATCTGCGTATTCTAAGTCAATAAGTGGACCTCCTGGTAGGAGATCAATACCTGAGAATTCAGTCGATGAGAGCGTTATTTCCATCAGTAGATCTATGATGAAGTTAAACAAAAATGGAGAAAGTGGACAGCCTTGGCGGACGCCACTTGAGGTTGCGAAAGGAGATGACAGTTCGCCATAAACTCTGACTCGATTAGTAGTGTTCGAGTAAAGAGCCTTCACAAGGTTTATGTACTTCTGAGGTACGCCTTTCAATGACAGACACTGCCACAGAACCTCTCGGTCAACAGAGTCAAACGCTGCTTTTAAGTCAAGGAAGACCACTATTGTCGGACGCCGGTAAGTATGCCTGTGTTCTAGAACCTGACGAATGGTGAATATGTGGTCGATGCAGCCACGACCAGGTCTGAAGCCAGCCTGATTTTCACGTGTTTGCAGCTCACGAGTCTTAGTTAGGCGTCCAAAAATTATCGAGGCTAGCATTTTAGATACTATATTAGTCAAACTAATCCCTCTGTGGTTGTCACAGGATGATTTTGACTCTTTCTTAAATATTGGGACGATAAGTGATTGTGACCAGTTAGATGGGATGACGTCTAACTCCCAGATTTTAGCTAAAATATTAGTCAACCTAATCGCTAAAACTAGACCACCATCCTTAAAGACCTCTGGGGCCAATCCATCTAGACCAGCTGCCCTTCCTCGTTTCAGATTAGCTATAGCCTTTTGAACTTCAGCTAGAGTTGGGGGACCTACTTCAATGTTCCATTCATACTGTCTGGGAATAGAGGGTAGTTGTAGAGTAGCTGAAGGCCAACTGAACTGCTCCTTAAAATGTTCCGTCCATCGTTCTAAACGTCTGGACTGGGAGCAGATGAGAGTGTCGTCTTTTTCCGAAATAGTCTGACTTGACTTATTAATTTCAGTTTCTTTTATTAGTCTGTAGAGTTGTCTTGTGTTCCCTATAGCCGCCGCCTTTTCCATCTCTTTTGCTTTCGTTGCCCACCACTGCTCACAATCGTTCCTTAGACTTTTGCTTAACCTAGATCTGATTTGTTTACGCTCTTCATCGTGTTCAGAACCTGATGGGAAGAGTTTACGAGAATCTATCAGTGCAATAGACCTTGAGGAAATCCATTGGTTCTTTGTAACCCTGTGGTTTAAATCACTAGTAGATGTCACTGCTGTTTTCACAGCTGCTTGTATGTCTTTCCAAGCAACATCGGGGTCAGCCTTGTTTTCAGAACTACCTAAGTGTGACCTCAGTTGTTCCTGGAACCTACTTTTGGCTTTCTCATTACTCAATTCGGTTCTAACGAGTCTTTTTTGTGTGGCTCTTTTGCGTCCAGTGAGGCGCAAGCAGATGCGTGCTCGTATTAGGGCATGTTCGGAGTCCAAGCAGGTACTCCAGAATGAGCGACAATCTTCTATTGACCCTCTCCAACGATGACTGATGGCAATATGGTCTATTTGAGTCCATCGTTGGTTTGGTGCAGGGGGTCGCCATGTTAGACGATGTCTCTCCTTATGCTTAAAATTTGTGTTTGCTAAAAATAAACGATTGTCTGAGCAAAGTTGCAGCAGACGATCACCATTATCTGTTCTCTGTGCCGGAATACTAAAATACCCACCTAAACGTCTTTTTGTTTCGTTTAAGCTACCTACCTGGACATTAAAGTCGCCTGCTACGAGTACTATGTCTGAACGTTTAGCTTTCTGAAGAAGTTCAGACAGCTTTCTGTAAAATTCATCTTTCACTTCATCCGAACTGCAGTCAGTGGGAGCGTAGGCAGAAACAACGAAAAGGCAACGACGTGTGTCCCTATGCTTCCGAGTTCTTACGGAGCCGTTTAGCCGAACAGCGCATAGACGACTGTTAACGGGGATCCACTCTAATAGCGCTTGTTCCGCCCTCATGCTTAGTGCTATGCCTACACCTGCCAGTTCACGAGAACTAGCCATCGGGTCGCCAGATACACGGAGGATGTATCTCGTCGGCTCTCCGTTTTGCCGAGGTGAGGTCAAGTGAATGACCACGCTATGATCCTGTATGCGTGTTTCCGAGACACAGCATACATCAATGGTACGAGATTCTAAGGTTTTAGCCAAGGAGGCCTGCTGACTGATTTGGCATAGTGTGCGAACGTTGAAGGCTCCAATGTGTAGTTTGGAGCGAGGTTCCAGTAGACTTGGGACAGTGTTTTGCGCACTAGAATCGTTGGCTGTGGTGACGCTTGAGGAGGAAGCCGAAAGAGGGAGTTTGGATTTGAAAGTCGATGTGGGAGAATAAATAGGAATTGAAGAGGGAGGTTGATTATGAATACAGTGGTCTTGAGTGCTGTTAGAGGTATGAGGTCGGTTACCACTTCCCGGTTGCCCACACCGTGGAAGGGTTCTACTGGAGGTACCTGAAAAGGAAATTGGATTAGAGGTGGTTTTAGTGACCTGAGAGCGTGACCGCAGTGCCTAAGGGACAGCAGATTGAGGTCGGTCACACACGACGTTTTTATGAGTAATTTTTGTGTTAGCTCCGTAATTGTTGAGACCTTACCGCCGCAGACGGATATCCGTGGGATAAGGCGAGGTGTGCATTTTTAGGGTCGACCTTTTCTAACCTCACCCCTCCTTGTGGGAAGGCATCATCGCTGTCATGCTGGTTGTTTGAAGGAAACACTTTACTGCTGTCATACCTCTGTACAGTCAGCAGTATGACTTCGCCTTCGGATCTTGGTTTTGTTGCTTTTAGTCTTACCGACCTGTCTGGCATGCTAGGACCATGAGTAACGGTTGTTCCAGCCAGTATAGCTCAGTTGCTTCATCACGATAGGCAAGCCCGACCACCACGTCAAGGTAGCAACAACGGTCAGGAGCAAAATGAGATAGGATCAATCAGAAAACTCCGTAAAGGTAAACCCTATCATCTGAAACTATCCTCCTTAGCCTATAAACGAATAAGAGGCCACCTAACCATGGTTTGTAACATACTGAGTAGTTCATGTCACTTCACCAAGATTCTACTAAGTACAAATTAGTCGAATTGTCGAAACATATACTCTCATGTTTGATTGTTTGTTATTCTCAATATCACCAATGCAGATCGATAAATAAACGAACTCTAAAAAATTCGTTTGAAAATGTCTTGTTGAAATTAATTCACCTCGTAATTTTAATTTCTAAAAACTATTTTGCAGATTTTGTGTACTATGCCTATATTTTTACGGATTAAACGTCCAAATACTGATTGTCCTAGTCAAATTTGTGAAGCACAAAATCTTATAAAACGTCCTAAAGCTGACTTACAATCAATTCAGTTTAAATATATCGGTAGTCAAACTTCAAATTGCTCATTAATTGGCAAAATTGACAAAGTATACACTTCCTCTGAAAAGTTATGTAAGATTATATGTAATACTTCAGATGCTACTGTTGTGGGCGAAAATCAAACAGTCAAGTGTCAGGTGAGTATCCTACATCTTTTTTTGTGCATGTCAGTGAAAAATAATGTAAACCATTTCACCAAATGCAGGTTTATGTGTACTTGATTGTGAACCAAATTTATTTTTTGTGAAGGTTGGTGGTAATACTCAGTTATCCAAACCGAATTAAACAAAATAGGGTTCATGACTGTAGTGGTTGATAGATGTGCACATTAACCATATTATTTCATCGTTTCTTGTACATATGTTATTTCTTATTGGATCTTATCAGTTCCCTAGTTAGCTCTGTGCTTCGCAACGTATTAACATCATGTCGCGGTAATAACTAGTTTTACTGTTGGTCGACTTTAGATTAATACAACTCAAACTGATTTACTTCGTAATTAAGTCTCGAAAATGTATTTTAGGTAATCGTGTAAAATCTGCTCTCGCATTTCCAGTAACATAATAGTATTATGCTCTTTGCAAGACTTAAAGGCTTAACGATGTTGGAGAATGTCATAAAACTACAACTAACCAAGTGTTCAATATTATTTATTTCTAGTGTAGTGTTATTCCTGCTTCGGTCTGGGCACCCGGGCAGTATCCCAGCCCACACACTAAAACTATGATGAACTATCTGCTTATAGAAAATATTCGTTTCTCTCCGACTAACATTGAAATGACTGGTATTATTATTATTATTATTATTATTATTATTATTATTATTATTATTATTATTATTATTATTATTTACTACGTCATTTATACACTACCTCCTATTTCTACTTTTTGTATCCGTTTCGACTCAGACAGCAGCTCGCCTATGGTGAAAATTCAGCTTTATCTAAACGTCCTCGAGTCACTGCCTGGTTGAAAATTGTATGTTACTACCGAATATGAGTACTGAAGCAGTTTTTCTGAAACCACGTGCACCATTCAAACTGGCTACCTTCAACGTTCGCACAATTATGCAGGTCGGACAACAGATAGGGCTGGCTATGTCTTTGGAAAGTCTTAATATTGATGTGTGTTGTCTATCCGAGACCCGTATTCAAGACTCTGGTGAAGTACTACAAGTTCGCTTTCCATCTGTCACTTCAAAAAGCTTGTTTTATGTGCGTTTATCCGGAGACCCTGTGGCATCTTCGTCTGGTCTTGCTGGCGTTGGTGTCGCACTAAGCGCAAGAGCTGAGGCAGCACTAGTCGATTGGATCCCCATTAACAATCGGTTATGTGCTGTTAGATTAGAAGGTTCCATCAAAGTGAGAAGAAATCGGCGTGAGAAACGATGTCTTTTCGTCATTTCCGCCTATGCTCCGACAAATTGCAGCCCGGATGCAATCAAGGACGAGTTCTACCATCAGCTAACTGTTCTTCTCCAGAAAGTGCGTTCGACAGATATTGTAGTACTAGCTGGAGACTTGAATGCTCAGGTCGGGCGTCTAGGCACAGAAGAGAGTCGTTTAGGTGGCCGATGGGGACTCGTTGGTCGCAGGACAGATAACGGGGAACGTCTACTGCAACTATGCACAGACCACAACCTGTTTCTGGCTAGCACTAACTTTCGGCACAGTCATCGCCGATGTGCCACCTGGAGTCCTCCTTCTGCATCTCAAGCCTGGACTCAGATTGATCACATCGCGATCAGCTACCGCTGGCGTGGTTGTGTACAAGACTGCCGCTCCTTTTGGAGTACCTATCTGGAATCTGATCATGTCCTGGTCTGCACCAATCTTACCTTACTTTTCAGTGGACAACGAAGTGACCGCCACCAAAGGATTGATGTTAGCAAGCTGGCTGCAACTTCTGTTGCTAGTAAGTACCGAACCGAGTTAGCTTCTAGGCTAGCTACCATTCCACCGAAAAGTATAGATGAGCATTGGTTGCAATTGCATGACGCCATGAAAATGGCGGGTCAAGTCTGTTGTGGGTTCGCGAAACGTCCCGCTTACAAGCACTGGGTTTCTTCTGGTTCCTTACAACTGATTGAAGCCCGTCGGTCTACTCCGGGTGACCGTGAGTTTGACCACAGACGAAGGATGTTACGTAATGAAATCGGGCAAAGCTTGCGTAAGGACCGAGAAGCCTGGTGGTCGGAGCGTGCCAGTGAGTTGGAAGCAGCAGCTGCATCTGGTAATTACCGGAAGCTCTTCCAACTCATCCGAGCCACTGGCAGCAAGAAGTCTGGTGTGAGCGAAACAATCTGCGAGGATGACGGAACGCCAATCACTAACATCCATCGACGTCTTGGACGATGGGCAGAATTCTTTGAAGGGCAGTTCAACTGGCCTGCTGCTCCGGCAACATCGGTCAGACTGTCCTGCCCTCCATGGCCGGTGACGACTGATCCACCAAATGACGCGGAAGTCCGCAAGGAACTCCAACTCTTGAAACGTTACAAATCACCGGGCCTAGACGACTTACCTCCGGCTCTTTTTAAAGATGGTGGTGACTTTTTGACTAAGGGACTGACGACGTTGTTTACAAAGATCTGGGAACTAGAGAGTGTACCAACGTCATGGAATGAGTCGATAGTTGTCCCTATCTTTAAAAAGATTTGTGTGGCGCATATGTATTTGGTGCCTCCCTGTACCTATACTTATGTGTTAAAATAAAATAAAATAATAAAAATCTTTAAAAAGGGTTCACGTTGTTCCTGTAACAACTATTGGGGGATAAGTCTACTTCCGATTGCGTCCAAGCTATTGGCTTCCGTCATACTTCGTAGGTTGTTCAGAACCTGAGAAGGATTGACTCGCGAGGACCAGGCTGGGTTTCGTTCTGGTCGAGGATGCATTGATCATATCTTCACCCTCCTCCAAGTGTTAGAACATCGCCATACTTATCAAAGGCCAACAATCGTAGTGTTTCTTGATATCAGGGCTGCCTTCGATTCGTTGGACAGAACTGTTCTCTGGGATTGTCTATTGAAGAAGGGTGTGCCTGAGAAGTTTATTAACATCCTGAAAGCCCTATACACAAACACATCAGACAGAGTGAGGGCATACAACCAACTTTCTCCATTATTCCATTCGAGCAGTGGGGTTAGGCAGGGTTGCCCAATCTCACCATTCCTCTTCAACTTTGCCATCGATGACATTCTGGAAACAGCTCTGACGGATGTAAGTAATGGTGGTGTGGATCTGTTGCCTGGAGAAAGACTTCTCGACCTTGAGGATGCGGATGATATTGTCTTACTGTGCGAGAATGCCCAAGCCATGCAATCCGCACTTAATCAGTTGGCAATCAGTGTCCGTAGGTATGGTATGTGCTTTGCACCTTCGAAGTGCAAAGTTCTTCTACAAGACTGGCAGGATTCTAATACTGTACTCACTCTGGATGGTGAGCAGATTGAAGTAGTCGAGAAGTTCGTGTATCTAGGTAGAGCTGCATAAGTGCTGGTGGTGGCGTGAGTGATGAGATCAATGCACGTATAGTAAAAGCCAGAGCGGTTTATGCCAATCTGGGCCATCTTTGGCGCCTTCGTGATGTTAGTCTGGCTGTAAAAGGTCGGATCTACAACGCGACGGTGAGAGCAGTTTTGCTCTATGCTTGTGAAACCTGGCCTCTCCGAGTTGAGAATGTTAGACGACTCTCTGTGTTCGATCATCGTTGTCTCCGAAGGATTGCTGGCATCCAGTGGCAACACCATGTCAGTAATGCAGAGGTCCGGCATCGTGTGTTCGGTCACAGAGACGATAATGAAATTGGTGTCACCATCTTGAAACACCGACTTCGGTGGCTTGGACATGTTCTACGAATGTCGTCCCAGAGAATTCCACGTCGTACATTATTTGCCGACTCTGGGACTGGTTGGAAAAAGCGGAGAGGTGGTCAGTATATGACATGGTGTCGTGGTATGAAAGAAAGCTGCAAAGGGCTAGCTTCTGTTGGTCCTTCACGACTCCCTGGTTGGGGTCCGAGAGACGGTGTAACGCAGTGGCTAGAGACATTATCAGATATGGCTAAGAATAGAAGCCAGTGGCGATCGTGCTGTAACCTCTTACTTCATAAAAAGTGTTTGTATCTTCCTTAACTGAAAGATCTCTTCTGATTGTACCTTTCCGTTTACTCCACCATTGTTCTCTCTCTCCCTTTTTTTATATTTCCCCACGTTCATTACTTTTTTTTCTCTTTTCTCCTTCTCTTCAAATTATCATTGTTTTGTGTGGCTCATATATATTTGGTGCCCCCCTGTACCAATATTTATGTGTTCAAATAAATAAATAAATAAATAGTGTAGTGTTATTGCCGTCAGTTATCCGACTGTAGGTAGTGTTGTAACTTGATCATCGAGTTTGGATATTGGGATCGACCATTGGAATTATATTGGCCAGAACACTTGCTCATTTTTGTCCTACCACGCTTGGAACCCTGGTCTCTTAGATAGTGATGAGAATAAAATCAGCAAACTAAAAGTCGGAGTTCTAAGTCACATTGTTAGCTAGAAGATGTCTCCCTTAAGCAACCAGGGTCTATTTCAACTTTGTTTTTATCTTTTATAATCATCTTTATCAAAGTGATATCCTGTTTGTTTTTATATTATCCACAGGAATTATTTATAGTTTATAATTTATAAAAGAGAAAATAGTTTTATCAAATAGACTAAAAGGTTAGTTAAGAGATAGTTCTATGAACTATGATGAATAATTGATATTTCAATTTAGTGATATAAAAGTTTAGTTATAGTTTAATTTGTTTATGGTTTGTTTTATTTAAGAAAAAGTTTTATGTTAAATTTTCAATTGTATATTTGATTTGACTATAGCGTGGTGTTTATACTGTTTGTCCGGTAAGTATACGAAGTGAAGTTATAAGAAATATAAAGTAAAGAATGTTAATCAATACACCCTCAAATGCCCTGGTATGTCCGAGAGTGGGGTGGGTTTGCATTCCCTCTCGAAATGCTTTCACACGGTCACGTGTATATAGCCTCTGCCAGGGAAGTCCTACTCACTGCCTTCTCGCACCACAGGTGCTGTTTACGAAAATGAGAGGACAAAAAGCGAATGTCCAATAGGGGCTTTAACCGGATCCCA